TATTTTCTTTTTTTCTTTTCGGCCTACTACAGGATAAATATTGATCATCTCCAAAATTCTCTGCTGCCTGCAGATCTTCCTGTTTTTCAGCTGCGGTGAGGGTTTGGCTTAGGAGCAGCATAACATTACTCTACGTAAGGTATCAAACACCTGAGGTAATTTTGAAAAGGTTCTATATACCTACTGGGGTCATCAGAAAATCAGCCAAAGTTTCCCTTAGTTTGACTAAGATTCTGCAATGAGATGGGAACTTGAGGGGGTCCTGAATAAAGGGGATCCTCAGAAGGTTCTCCTGGAAGTTGCTTCTCTAATTTTGGAGAATCACTCCAACAGGCCTACTTGGTATGACTGCTCAAAGAGCTGGGTTGATTTTGCAATGCTTGCAAAGGTCTAGTAAGAATGTCATGCCCTTGTGCAAAAGAAAATAAGCCATTTTTTAATTTTTCAAAGTCGTGGGGTTACAGGAGTGCTAATGCTTCTGAATGCACTCGAGGAGTGCAGGCCAAAGATGGTTTGTTACCCCCCTAGAAATAAAAGTGACAGGAAGGCATTCTTTTAGTCTCCTTCCTTTCCCTGGAAGTGGCCCAAGGTGGAAAGACAGTGGTTTTGACTGTGGTGGGATGCTCTGCTCCTAAAAAAATTACAAAACCAGCAATCCCTTGAGCCACATTTCCCGTTAGTATAGGCAGCTTCTGATTTTGCCTAACAGGATTGCTTTTCTGAACTGTAAAAGTTTCTGTGGCATTGCATACAGAAAGGATAGAAGACATGATATTCACAGATAGAAAGGAGAAAAACTGTGACAGGCAAAGCTTGGAAATCCTCTTGCTAACATCCAGTCTAGCAGTCAGAGGTTGGGGTCAGTCCAGAACCCTTCAGATAAAACCAGGGTGAGGGAGTGTGGCACAAGAAAGAAATCCTCAATAACTTCAGGACCTCTACCAGACCCATATAATGGCTAGGTCCTCCATAAATAAAAATCAGTTTGAAAAGTAGCCAATATATGCAGCAACCTGAGGGCAATAGGAGATTCATTATGTTCTCCCCAGCAAGCCTGTCATCTGAGACATGGGAATGGCAGCTCACCCTAAGGGCATTCAGATAGCCATAGAATGCCTGGTATTTCTAATCTTATTTGATTTTTAAATGCTGGGTGAGAGCCTCAAAATAAAAGGACAGAGTTGGGGCCTGCATTTTTTTTTTTTTTTTTTTGAGTTTGAGTCTTACTCTGTCACCCAGGCTGAAGTGCAGTGGCATGACCTTGGCTCACTGCAACCTCCACCTCCTGAGTTCAAGTGATTCTCCTGCCTCAGCCTCCTGAGTACTGAGATTACAGGCACGCATCACCATGCTTGGCTATTTTGTATTTTTAGTAGAGGCAGCTTTCCACCATGTTGGTGAGGCTGGTCTCAAACTCCTGACCGCAAGAGATCCACCCACCTTGGCCTCCCTAAGTGCTAAGATTTTAGGTGTGAGCCACTGCACCTGGTTAGGGTCTGCTTTTATACTCACCCTTTTAATAATCCTGGGCAAGCACCCACAGTGAAACAGTGTCACATTCATCTGGGGTAATATCCAAGGCTCATTGCCTCACAGCAAGAAAATTAAGGATGAAAACACATGAGGAGTGAGAGTAAGAGCAGAGGTTTAACAGGCAAAAGAAAAAGAAAACCTCTCTCTCCTGCAGGGTTTTATAGATGACCTTGAGGAGGTAGTGTTTGATTTACACAAGGCTTAAAAGATTGGTCAGACCAGGTGCACCATTTGATAGTGCATGAAGAAGCTGACCACCCACCCCACTTTAATTTTCTACTATGCAGATGGGTTCTTTACGTAGCCAGTGCCATGTTGCCTGTTCCTTTACTATACACGTGTTTGACAAAAAAAAAAAAAAAAAAAAAAAAAAGGAATATGGAGCCTGCATGTTGAAAATGCTTGGCCCGGGGTAGTCTTTTCCTACTGGCATAGCTGCCGACATTCACCCATGCAAGCTTGCTTTATGCTTGCAGCTGGATTTTACAGGCTGCTCTTTGCTGGAAAAAAAATCATTTGGGGGCTGCTTCTTGTTAAAAGAGAAGCTTTGCTGAGGACTCTCTTATCCTCACAATCTGCCTAATATGTGCTCCTGTATCAATAAAAGCAGAGCTTAAAATATGATTGCCTGGACCTGGGGGTAGAGAAGATGTTGGTAGAGAAGTGAGTATTCCCTACATTTTTTACCTTAACAAGTAAGTTATTCTCCTCTCAGTTTTGATTCACCAGAAAATTGGATCATATCTGAAAAAATCAAAACTGAAGGAATAATATATTTGTTAAAGCAATAAAGGTTTTATACTGAAATTTTAGAGGCTTAGCAAGATAATATATTTTCTGCTCCTATCATAATCTTTTGAGTTTTTTTTTTTCTGGTTAAGAGGACTTCTAAATAATCTTTCAGGAATTATATCTTCTTTAATCTTCTATCTGCATTCTCCTTTCTTCAGCCGAAAAATGAAAAAAAAAAAAAAAAAAAAAAAAAAAAAAAAAAAAAAAAAAAAAAAAAAAAAAAAAAAAGATGCAGAGAAGACACATTTGCTTCTTACCCAAACATTACCTTTACTCACTATTAGTCAATGTGGACAGAGCTGAGAATAGCAGTTTTCTGGCAGGACAGCAACTTCTCAGCAATAAAGACACTGGAAAAAATAAAAAAAGGAAGTATAAATCTCTCATCAAAAGCTAATGTATTTTAAGCAAAATAAGAATATGAATCAATAGTAAAATGCTTGTGGTTTTTGGTTGATTTCTATTGAGCTCAGATAAAGCTAGCAAATATCTATCAGAAAAAAAATTATTTGAAATAATAACATTGTGAATGAAGTTATACTGTCAAGAGAAGTAAAAATATGATGACCTCATACTAATAATCTCATCTACAGTCATACAACATCAAATGCTACTTTTTATTTTAAAAGTATGTTATATAAGTATTCCACTTGTATTTACTTTTGTTTTATATAAGTATTCCATTTATATCACTTTCCTTCATTATTTCAAAGTACTTTCGACTTTTTATCAGTGAAAAACAGTCCAGCTGGTTTCAGAAAATCATGTTGTGCTGTTGCCACTTTAATGATGACGATGAAGAGCACTTATTTGAGTAGTACTTCTGTGCCAAACACTGTTAGTTGGCCCAAAGCACTGGTTTTCCTTCTCTCTCGAAATTTAGTAATAAAATAAAAGTCTTGGCTAAGGGAATTTATCTTATTCAAATATGTTTTATGAAATCTGGTTGACATTTCAGTGTTTCTGACTTACCTGGAATACTGTCATTTTTAATAAATCCAAAGTAAGTACTTGAAATAAACAATCTTTTATGAAAAGGCTTTCTGAGACAGAGTAAGATTCATAAAATTTCTTTATAATATGAAAATAATGTGTTGACCAAGTTTGCAGTAATCACCCTGAACACAGCATTCTCAGTTCCCAGTATTCACCCTCAGTCACATAAGAGAAATTGGTATCTCTGTAAACAGGCATAAGGAGGTGCTGCGTGGAGGTGTGCCACACTGCACATCAAAGCTTTCCACATGCACCAATTAGGGTCTGCATTTTATTGGACTGTCATTTGCATGGCTAGATACTTACTGAATATACTCATGCTTTTTTATTATTTATTTTTTAATAATTCAGTCTCCATAGAGACTGTCAAAAATTGCCAATGCTGACTATATTTTAAGTCGTCATGGGGGGGTATTGGAAAAAGTTTTCAATTAGCAATAATTTCATGTGGATAAACCTCATTGGCTACAATACTGCCACTCTCCAAAGTCATGCTATTTTTTGATGGCTAACGACATCTGTTATATATTAGTTTTATACAATTATTTGCCTAGCTGAAAAATAAATCTTTTCTTAATTTACTCAAAATTGAGAAACCAGATTTGCAATCTTTAATCTTTCAATGTCAAAGCAAATCAGAGAAGTGCAATGTGTGTATGTAGAATGCATTTTTCTGCCCATTAAAATTCTTCTTGTATTGCCTTGGAAACCCTAAAAAGCCACTTAAAAGTTATTATTTTTTAAAATCTTTAGCCAGGATTTCAGATTTCAAAATGTTCAAAAACTTAACAATTGAGCAAAGCCAAAGTCTTGTCTTTGCATTTTGCTAATAATCTAGCCATTTTAAAAAGCATAGCAATTACAACCACGTATTGAAAAGATGTGGTTTTGATTAGTTTTATCCCATTTTAAATGTTTTTGCTAATTGTTCTTTTATGTTAACCTACAAGAAACTATCTGAATAACTTTTTCTCCATTCAAGAAATATTCATATTAGGCTGGGCATGGTGGCTCATGCCTGTAATCTCAGCACTTTGGGAGGACAAGGTGGGAAATTCACATAAAGTCACTGACCAGATTGCCAACATGTAAAAACTCCATTTCAACTAAAAATACAAAAATTAGCCAGTCATAGTGTTCCATATCTATAATTGCAGCTACTCAGGAGGCTGAGGCATGAAAATCGTTTAAACCCAGAAGGTGGAGATTGCAGTGAGCCAAGATCAAACCACTAAATTCCAGCCTGTGCTATTGTCAGCAAGTTGTTTTTCTCAGTGGCTCTTTTTGTTCCTCTGTAAAATGAGAATAATTATATTACGTATGGTATTGTTATTGGGAGAATTAAATTCATTAGCACATATATAGTGTTAGAGTTAGTTCTCGGTACAAACTAGCTATTATTAATATTTAATGCTGAATTACATTAATACATGCTAAACATAAAAATAGCCTTCTATAACACGTTTTTCAACCAATAATAAACATATATTTAGATTATTTTTTAAAAAAACATTTGACATAGATACACAATGGAATACTAGTCAGCCTTAAAAAGAGGAAAATCTGTCTGGGTGTAGTGTGTCATGCCTGTAATTCCAGCACTTTGGGAGGCCAAGGAAGGCAGATCACCTGAGATTGGGATTTCGAGACCAGCCTGACCAACATGGAGAAACCCCATCTCTACTAAAAATACAAAAACTTAGCCAGGTGTGGTGCCACATGCCTGTAATCCCAGCTACTTGGGAGGCTAAGGCAGGAGGATCACTTGAACCTGGGAGGCAAAGGTTGCAGTGCACTGAGATCCCCACTGCACTCCAGTCTGGGCGATAGAGCAAGAAGCTGTCTCAAAAAAAAAAAAAAAAAACCAAAACCTAATACATTCTCCTCGAAAAAAGTCTTAACAAATTTTTTAAAATGATTTTGTTGTTGTCGTTGAGATGGAATCTCACCCTGTCATCCATACTGGAGTCCAATGGTGCAATGTCGGCTCACTGTAACTTCTGCCTCTCAGGTTCAAGAGCTTCTCCTGACTCCACCTCCCGAGTAGCTGGGACTACAAGCGCACACCACCACAGCTGGCTAATTTTTATATTTTTAGTGGGAAGTCGGGTTCACCATATTAGCCAGGCCAGTCTCGAACTTCTGACACTGTGATCTGCCTGCCTTGGACTAAAACAAAATTTTTATGAATTACTTTATATGACCAAAATGGAATGAGAGTATGGAACAATAATAGAAAAAAAACTTAAAAGTTTACAAATATATAAAGATTATACAGCACCAAACTCTTGAACATGCATCTGTTCAAAAATTCAAATAATTAGTATTTTAAAAATGTCCATATTGCTCAATGTAACCTATAGATTTAATGCAAAGTTTTAAAATTTCTCACTGCATTTTTGAAGAAATATAAACAGTGGCCAGGCACGGTGGCTCACGCCTGTAACCCCAGCACTTTGGGAGGCTGAGGCGGGGGAATCACAAGGTCAAGAGATCAAGACCATCCTGGCCAAAATGGTAAAACCACATTTGTACTAAAAAAAAAATACAAAAATTAGCTGGGCATGGTGGCCCATACTTGTAATCCCAGCTACTCGGGAGGCTGAGGCAAAAGAATCACTTGAACCTGGGAAGGGGAGGTTGCAGTGAGCCGGGATCGTGCCACTTCATTTCAGCCTGGTAGCACAG